GACTGACATTAAGGGCAACAGACTAATTAATCAGGCAGAGGAAATTCAAGGAAGCCCACCAGTCAGTCTGTAGCATGGATACAGCTTGCTGTTTTAAGATCTAATGTGAGAAATATGAGCAAAAAGCCCATTTAGAAAGTTTTCAGTTTCCCCAGAAAATGAAGTGCCTGTAAAGTTGGAAAAGATAATTTAGTTGCTAAAAAGATCGCCATTTTTTTTTTTTTTTTGGTACTGGGGATCAAACTCGGGACCTTGTGCTTGTGAGGCAGCAGCAGCACCACTGAGCTAAATCCCCAGCCTAAGATCACCATTTTTCAAAAGCTCAGCATTTACAACAGGACAATAAAGAAATGGCTTAAGGACATGTCAGGAATCAGCAAGGCCAAAATTACTAAAGTGAAAAGACTGCTCTGAGAAGAGAGTCCCAGGGCACTGTGCTCCAGAACAGCCACTAGAAACAGACACCAAGGAAATTGTTTTTTTTGGGGGGGATTCCATTCACAATGCTTAGCCATTCAAGTACTCAGAGGCTCCTGAAGTCACAATGCCAGGGTCTGGCTACTGCTTGAGCTGGCACCAGATCATGGCTTCATACCTGTGGCGCTGTTTTTACAGGCATGCATAATGCAAAAGGTGTGGGTTCAAGAAGTCTTCCACCCAGATTTCAAAAGAAGGCTTGGGAAGCCAGGCAGGGTGCCCCTGAGAGGCCAACGTGTGAGTCTGTCTGAAACCAAAAGTACAGTGAAGACCACGTAAAGTTGGAGAAGCCACAAGGAGTAAGCAAAGCCAGCCCAAGAGAGAAGCTCTTGTAATAACTGGCAACGTCATAGAGCCCAACCCCCTTTGGAGTTCACATCTCAACACTTCTCAGCCTTCTGGCTAAGATCAAGTGTGGAGTTCATATCTCTTGTCCACAACTTATCCTGGGTGCTGGACACAGAGTTATGGATTTAATGCTTGTCCTGACAGATTTGGGTCTTGCTTTTTTTTTTTTTTGTCCCACTGGTTTCTACCCCTCTATTTCTCCCTTTTGGAATAGGAATGTTTACACCTTGCCACTGTATGTCAGCAGTGTTTAATTTTCTTTTTTATTTTTATAGGTCTCACAGCTAAGAGTATGCCCTAAATATCAGGGGATACTTCAGACTTGGAATTTTCAGCAACACTGAAACAGAACTTTGACAACTCTTAGAGATAAAATAAATATACACAAAAAGATGTGCATGGGTCTTTTGGGGTCCAGAAGTGGAATGTTATGATTTTTATCTAGATATCCCCCAGAGTCTTATGCACTCATAAGTGGGGCTTTTGGAAGGTGACTGGATTATGCGGACATTAAGGCTAACTTGCTGTTTGGAGGTGGGGTCCAGCTGGAAAATGTGGGTCATTGTGGGCATGAGCTAAAAGAGTACATTTCTCCTTTCATCACTCTACTTTCCCTCTGCCATGTCTTGCTGACATACTGTCCTGCCAAGGAGCCAGCTGACTATGAAGTGAAACCTCTGCACACTATAAGCCAAAAGAAACCCTTCCTAAATTGTGGGTGTCTGGTATTTTGTCCAGCAATAAGGAAAGTAACCAGGACAGCAGGCAAGAATCTTAACTCTTCAACTAGAATGTGAGACTCTTGATGAAAAGAAGAACATTTTAAGTCTCTTGTTTCCCTAAGATGTTTGTCCCATGAATCTCATTCCAGTATCTACCATATTATAGAAAAACCTCAAAATACTGCATACTGAATTCTTTTTAGAGAAAAGCCTGTGAACAGAATCTCAGAGATTTAAAAAAATGTAAGATTCAATAGCTGATTTTCCCATCATACATGTACAACATTTTGACAAAATAAAGGACTAATACACTATCTCTTCATTAATAATTACCATAGGTTGAAGCCCATCTTACATCAGCACTCTTTGGGGAAACCAGACCAACCTTACTATATATATTAACAATAACTGTGGAAATAAATTTTAACATCCCCAAATTAAAATTTAGTATGTTGGTTTCAAAATTTTTAAGATAAGGAGTCAGAGATTTAGCTTAGTGGCACCACACCTGCCTCTCAAGTAGAAGGTCCTGAGTTCAATCCCCAGTACTGAAAAAAAAAAATTTTTTTTTAAGATAAGCTTCTTATCTCTCAGAAATAGGAGTCCCTGGCCCTCAGACCTTAGTGTCCTATATACTAGGTACCTAAGATTACAAGTAAATCAGGCATTCTTCATATTCCTGACATTTCTTCAGGTATAGTGGAATTTACTGGCCTGCATTCCCTAAAAAGCCAATTATTTTAAATTTGCTTTATTAAAAGTCACTTTTTCTCTCTTTATTCTATTTCTTCCATTATAGTGTGTGCATGCTGTATGTGATATAAAGCTGACTGAAATATTTGAGTAATTTAGATGTCTAACCAATTTTTTTCTTCTGATAAATCTAATTTATGTTCCTCTAAAAGGCCCCAGTACAATAAAAAACTGCTTTCAAGAGTGTCATATATTTAAGAGATGTCCTATTTTTGAACTACGATTGTAAGATACTACACTACACAGAAAATATCAGATTTGAGTCAGAAAGATCTGATTTTTAATACAGATTCTGCCTCTTAGTACATGATTTACTCCTCTCATCTATAAGATGGAGCTACTACCTGAGATGCTTGAGGTCAGAGTACACTTAAGTGCTTAACACTAAAAGATAAGTATGTCACATCATGTAAACTTAGTCAAGCTATTTAAAACGTGAGCCTCAGTTTCTTTAGTCATAAAACTTGTTTATTCATCTCAGCACTATCCTTGTGACTTCCATACAATAACCAGCACATGACAGATATTCATACTGGGCTTTTCAAATTCCAGTCTTAGTAGGTTTAAATCTTTGCTTTAACAGAATAGTGTATAATTTACAGACTTCTTTTACTATCACTGCAGCTCCAATGTCCAAACAGCACTCTAAAGTACCCATGGCAACTGTATATCCAACATCTTCAAACAGGATTACAATTAACCTCTTCTGGCAACCATGTGTTCACCAAAGATGAAGCGACATCACTTCAGCAATACTCCTTCAGCTCTTGCGCAAGTGTACCAACTCCTGAAGGCACACATTTGTCTCATCTGCTACAAGTTCAATATAACTCTACTACCTCCTTTTCTTTCATTCTAATTACTCCCTAATCAATATGAGAAATAAAATCCAATTTGAGACAGTGGGGGTCTGTGGGTATAGTTTATTGGCAGACCACCTAGCTAGTATGTGAGAATCCCTAGGTTTAATCCCTAGTGCTGAAAAAACAGAACAAAAAATTGAGGCAAGGTATGGTAGCATACACCTAGAATCCCAGTACTATGGGAGGCTGAGACAGGAATATCACAAAATGCAGCTCTGCACTAATGAACCCTTGCCTAAAAATAAAAAATAAAACAGAAGTAACTTTTTAAAAATATCAGCAATGGTAAGAAAAGTTCCAGAGAGGCATATCATCCTAGTCCTAATCCTTGCCTTTTCTATCATCAGCTGTATAAGCTCTCAGAGAAATTACTTAATAACAGTATGAGCTTATTTTGTATGGCATTTTATTTTTCAAATAACATTATCATTTGGGTTTCAAAAAAAAACTTTATGAGAACCCAAAGCAGGTATTATTTTCATTTTAAGCCAAAAACAAAAACAAAAAACATTCAGGAATTTTCTAAACTAATTTTCCTTGCTGAGCACTTACTACATTCTTAAAACTATTTTGAATGTCACAAAGTAGTACAAAAAAGATGCAGTCTGTGACTGCATCTTAATGCCACAGAACATCTGTTAGAGCTACTGATCCTCAGGATTCATCTGTCCTTCCTTTCCACAAGATTTAGAGAAGCCAATGGGGGAGGGATGGCATACTCTCTTCCCACATCAAAAGTCACAATACAAATTGGTACAATGTTTCTATGAAGCCAAAACCCTTTTGGGGAAGCGGTACTGGAGACTGAACCCAGGGCATTGCCCATACTAGGCATGCACTCTACTACTAAACTATATGCTCAGCCTTTCTTTAATGTGTGTGTGTGTGTGTGTGTGTGTGTGTGTGTGTAATATATATAATGTGTATATATTATATATATATATTTTTTTTTTGAGACACTCTCTGCTAAATTGCCTAAGCTGGCATCAAACTTGCAATTCTCCAGCCTCAGCCTTTCAAGTAGCTCAGATTACAGATACCATACTCACATACCCAGCTCGAAAGCAAAGCCTTTGAAAGCATATTCCATTTAACACAGGAATCACAATTTCATGATATTATTTAAGGAAACAAAAAAGCAAGTGTGTTTATACCAGTGGTGGCAAAGCTACAGCACATGTGCTATCACTGTGTAATTCTTTTAAAACAATAGATGCTAATGTAGGAGTTGCTTTTTCTAAACTGAAACCTCAGTATTAAGTAGGTTTTGAGTTATAGTTTGGGTACCCGGTCTCTAACAGGTTTACCATCACTGGTTTATTCTAATAAGAAAAGAGGAAACAGACTAATCATTAAATATGGAAAAATGAATTAAATAAATTATGGTCTACCTATTCGATGGACTACTACACACCCATTAAAAAACAACAGTAAACCCATATTTAGACAAAGGAAGAGTTATGATAAACTTCTCAGTGAAGAGCACACATAAGACTATGAAAATACGATATTTAAATGTTGACAGTTTGAAAGACCATGTAGCTAATGTTAATCTCAGAAAAAGAGTAATATATCCAATTTTTTTACTTACCTGGATTTTATAAATTTTACAATAAATATTATTAATGAAGAACTGTCAGGATTTTTTTTTTTGTATCAGTTATAGAATTCAGGACCTTGCACATGTGAGGCAGGTGGCAGAACCAAAATCCTCAGCAATGAAGAAATTATAAAACTTTTTTAAAGAAAACAAATAAAAAACATCGTGTTATTTCCCAGGCTAACATAAACATACAGAAGGGAACTTCTCCATTTAAGAAATATGTGATGTGCATACCAGGAGTTCATCCATGCTAGTCTGACACTTCTCAAGGTTTATCCGTTTGATTGCCACTTTCTCCTTTTTAGGGGCACAATAAGCGGCTTGGACCACAGCAGTTGCTCCACTCCCTAAAAATAAATACATAAATGAGTAAATAGATACATTAAAACATGACATTTCTAATTTCCGCACAATTTAAACAAGATAAGAAGAATCCCTATACTATTCCTAAAGTGAACAACTGCTGTGGAGAAACATTCTAAGAGTCAAGTGTATAAAAGTGAAAGCCTAACAGTTTGTAACAGCTAAAACTTGGAAACAGCCCAATTGCCCATCAGTTGGAGACTGGATAAAGAAGAAGTGGTTTTTCTACAAATGGAGTACTACTCAGCCATAAAGAATGAGAAACTAGAGTCATTCGTAGGAAAATGGATGCATAGAGGCCATACTCTTAAAGGACACACATGTGGAAATACCACGAGAATAGTTTATCTGGTGTGAAAAACTAAAAGTGTAAATAAGATCCAAGTTGTGTAACTGCTACTGTGAAACAGGAAGAAAGGGGCTTAAGGTGTAGGGGAAGTGGAAAAAGTAGGGGAAAGGAAATAAGGGAAAAGAAAAAATTGAAAAAGGAAAATACGGAAACAAAGTCTTTGTAAGTAGGGAAGGGTGGAGGGGGTGAAGGGAGGGCAGGGGTATGGGGAAAAAATGAGAACCAAGATGTCACGTAAAGGTACAAGATCTCAATGATGTAGTGTATACCTAAAAAGTACCAATAAACTCAATGAAAAAAATTAAAAAATAAAAGTAAAAGCCTAAATCATTTCAAATGTTTTGCCAATAAATGCCAATACAAAAAAAATGCTAGGGTCCAAATTCTAGAATATGGTGGCACAAGCTCACATGGTCCTGCTCCTCTCCTCTAAATACAGCTAAATATCCTAAAAATAATTCAACATACAACCATAAAAGGACTCTAGAAGATAGAAAGAAGGAGGTAGTCTACTCAGCAACCTTAAGACTTTAGGAAAACACCACGGTGAATTCACTGGGTTTCCCATTTTTCCCAGACTGGACACCAGAGAGGCCTGCAACCCAGTGTCAGAAGCAATTCTACATAATTTTAGGAAAAAACATTTCACAATTAAATTATGATTAGGCTTAGTTTTCTTGCCTCCAGGCTAGCTATGGCATGTTGTGACATTACTCCATTTCGGTCTCCCTAAGATCTCAATGGTCTTATGATGCCATGACACTCCAGGGCAGAATTATATCAGCTGAAAACATCTTGGTTCCTTGAAAACAGAAAGGTTTTACCTGGGGAGGTTCAAATTCCTAATCCATGCAAGTTCCTCGACCTAGGATCTTCATCAGCATAAATTCCTCATTGTCCTAGATCACGGACACCCTCTGAGTCATCTGTTACTACCAATGTACTTAATAAATGTGTGGCAAGCTGGAGTCCTTGTCTTTGCTGTCCAGAGCAGCAATGACCAGGTCCAAAGCTCAGCTTCTTCTCTAAGTCTTGTTTCCTATCTTTATTCATTCGTCTTGTGCTGTTGTGGGTTACAGGAGACCAGGACCCACCAAAGGGGCTCTGGTTCGTCCTCTTTCCCTGTTCCCTATACCCAGAACCACCAAGAAGGAGGGAGTAAGTGGGGGGAAAGGGAAGGCAGGTGCAGGAATGGACAGATGCACAGACAGGCAAACAAATGACAAAATCCTCCTCTCTGAATAAAGGGCTATGGAGGGTCTGCTCAGCAGAGATCTAGTGGGGAGAAGCCTTCCCCAGTCCTCATCCAAGAGAGTAATGGACTCAATCTACCACAGCATTAGCAAGGTCCTCACCCTACATCCAATGCAGCAGCAGGCCACATTCACTCACAGCTAGGGCCCTATCCTACAGCTGTGCCAGTGCCAAGCCCCCAATCCTACCAGTCAACCAGAGTAGCACCTGTGGAGATAGAGCAGTAGTTCCAGAGGTACCAGAAAAATAAAGCAAAAGAAAACAGCACTTACACGACCTAGGAAACTAAATTACCACAGGGATTACAGCTTGTAAAAGTAGGACAGGAGCAATACGTTAAATCTACTTACCTGCTAAAATAGAAGATTTAAATAGAATCGAGAGTCTCCCTGACATAATAACCTAAATGTCCAAAATACAATTAAAACAAGACATATCTACCAAGAACCAGGAGAAACACATCTGAACAAGACAAGACAAGCCCAGCGTGGTGGCATATACCTATAATCCCAGCATTTTGGGAGACTGAAGTAGGAGGACTGCCGAGTTCAAGCTCAGCCTAAGCAACTTAGTGACTTAATGAGACCCTGTCTCAAAATAGAAAATAAGAAACAGGGCTCGGTGGGAAACGCAAAGGCCCTGGGTTCAACCCCCAATACTGCCCAAAAAGGGGAAAGAGGCAATCATATTGACTCAAACACAAAAATCAGATGTTAGGATTATCTGACAAGAATTTTAAAGCAGCCAATATAAAAATGCTTCAACAATTATGGATCCTGCTGAAACAAAAAAATTTAAAATCTTAGCAATAGGAGGGGCATTGGGAAGAGGTCTGGGAATTGAACTCAGCACCTTTCCATATAGCAACCATGTGCTCTATCACTGAGCTATCGCTGAGTACACCCTCAATTTCATAAATTATTTTTTAAAATACCAAATGGAAATTAAACAACTAAAAAACACAATTACTGAGAAAAACATTTGCTGGAGAGGTTTTAAAGAAATAAATATTGAGGCTGGGGATTTAGCTCAGTGGTACTACCATCTGCCTTGCAAGCTCAAGATCTCAAGTTCAATCTCCAGTATAAATAAATAAATATTGATTCATTGATACATGCTAGAACATAGATAAACCCTGAAAACATTATAAGAGAAACTAAGAACCATTTCTACAAAATGTTCAGAACAAGCAAATAGAAAAAATAGATTAGTAATGTTAGAGGATAGGGAAAGAGAAGAATGGAAATGACTGATCAATAGGTACAGGCTTCTTTATGGAGTGAAAAATATGCTCTGGAATGTTGATGTTTATAAAACATTGTGATTTCACCAAAAACTAAGTGTACACTTTAAAATGGTGTATTTTAGCCAGACATGATGGCACATGCCTGTAATCCCCAATGCTCAGGAGGATGAGGCAAGAGGACTGTCATGAGTTCAAGACCAACCTGGACTACACAGTGAGTTCAAGGCTAGTTTACATTACATAGCAAGACCCTATCTCAAAAAACAATTAAAAAAATGGTAAATTTTTTATCAATACTCTAAAAAATAAGAGAATATGATACACAACTTTAGCTCATAATTCAACAGACTATTTCAAAAACAACTAAAACTCTGCCAAGATGAAGTAAAAAAACTTAAATAATACTATGGCTATTTTTAAAATTGAAACCATAATTTTAAAGTTTTTGAAAAAAATCTTCAGATGCAGACAATTTCACTAAAGAATTTTGCCAAACACTGAGAGAAGAAATAACAGCTATTTTATACAATTCCAAAAAGTGAGGAAGCGGAAACAGTTCCCAATTCATTTTATGAGGCCATTTTACTGCGAAACCACTGAAACCATATAATGACCTAGGAAAACTAAACACCAATAGCTCTCAAGAAGTTAAGATGCAAAATCCTTAACAAAATATTTGTAAGTTGGATCCAGCAAGAGAGAATATGCCAAAAGCCTGTAAAAAGTGTTCCAGTTATGTAAGGCTGAAAAAATATACAAAAGAAAATATATGTAATACACCACAGCAACAGGTTATAGAAGTCACACGATCATTCAGCAATTACAGAAAAAACATTGAAAAAAGCCTGACACCAACATGATGTTTTCAACAAACTAGGAAGATTCTGTCCAATTTCATAAAGAATATCTATCAAAAAATGTAGAGAACCACGCCTGCTCCCGACCCAGCAACCATTGCTCAAGCACCGGGAGGTAGGCCAGGCCCCGATCCAACGCGGGAAAGAGAACCACACCTGCTCCCGACCCAGCAGCCATCGCTCAAGCGCCGGGAGGTAGGCCGGGCCCGATCCACCGCGGGAAGGAGAACCATGCCTGCTCCCGACCCAGCAACCATCGCTCAAGCGTCGGGAGGTAGCCGCGCGGGCACCCCTGAACCCCCATAATTCCACCCCACCCCCCGCACTCTCAGACCTCCTGAGTGTGCAAGTCTTTGGACCCACTCTGCA